AACACACTTGGTGTAAGTTGTTCATACTTTCTTTTTGGCAGATATTCATTTGTATTTTTGGAGCAAAATTTCTTGATACTAGTTTTAGGCACGTTCTGAGAACTCCTGCTTAGGCGGTGGCACAGCCGCCTGTGGTGTACTTCATCTTTATCGCCCTCTTTTCCCTCCACAGGTTCGGGTTTCATCATAGTATTTTTTCTGAATAAAGGCACCGAGGAAGATTTGAAAACTAGTTGGCGATACTATTGGTTGAGGCGAAAAATGGATTTCAAGCAATGAAGCAAGAGAACTCTTGACTTAAGCAACTTTTGAAGCGATGATCGGGTTGATTCGCTAAAGATTTCCTTGAACAATGCTCTTGACATTTCTCGAGCATTGATATTTTCTTCCACGGTTTTCATTGAAGTCATGTTGTAGATGCCTTGTTACAGATGCTGTTTGCACACTTGTTTGCGTCAGCAGGAAGTGTGGCTCCAGTCCGATCGCGTAATGTTATGCGAGATCTCCAAGAGATGCAAAGAGTATCCATTGGACTCGGTGAGCACTGTTTATTTTATTTCGTTAAAGGAAACGTTTCAGTCATAGAATGTATAAGAGAGGAACGATAGCCGACGCTTAGAAGATCGCCCATCACCTCTTATTCTGTTTTTTATTTCGAAACGGACCCCTGTAACGTACGCTTTAGATGTGGGCTTGAGAACATTCCACCTTCGAGAGTCACTCAGCGAGTCCTTGTTTTCATTAAGAGGCCTGAAAAATCTAATTTTTGTGTGGTTGTTTATCATTTGGCGTTTCTAAAGATCCAGTCGCTAATTCCTTTGATCAACGGTGACCTGAAGTCACATTACGTGTCCGACTCGATCTTCGAGCCATTAGCGTAGCTTGAAAATCAAAACCAAAACTCAGAACGCATTTCGGAGATTGGATTGACCCTCGTGAACGCAAGATGCCTTACTGCCTCCCTCAAATATTTTATACAGAGCGGTTTGCAGCTAGATGGGTGATAGGGAGAAAAATTTCGCGGAGTTTTTCAGAGTTTTTGCTCAAGGAATGCATAATGTATGTATTTTTCAGGGGTCGCGTTTATATTCCGAAATATATTCCGGCTCGAGATCAATTACGTCGCACCTATCAAACATTGTGAAGGTGACAGTCATTCAACTGGCGTGCATATCGGCTGTGGTATTAACTTTTTGTAACTCTTGATTGTGCTCTTTCAAGAACTGTAATACTGCCCTCGGATAGAGTCATGAGGTGCCATCGCAACTTCTCGCGCGGAACTTTATCACCGCGCGCAACAGATGCGATTGCGCCTCCTGATGTTTGTCCAAAAAAGGCTTAGATAGTAGATCAGACAGATGATAGGATGTTTTGCTCATTTTCGAGTTGTTTAGTCTGCATCTGTCAGTAGGTTTTAGTCACCGAGAGTCATTGTTATTCATGAGCAACTTTAATGAAGAATTAAATCTAGTGGGGGGTCTCAATGCAAAAAGTCTACAGTACATTGCATCTCTTTCTCTTGTATGTGTCGTAATTGTCGCTTCTGTACTACTGAGATATTTGAGAAATTATAGCTAAACACTTCCAATTTTCGTTGTTGTCGAATTGAATTTTGCTCATGTTTGAATTTGAGGTAAGATTTTGTTTATGTGTACTTAACTCGTTAATCAACCGCAGGCCAAAAGAAAGTTCACGTGCTGATTGGAGTTCTGCCCAGTGCGTATTCTAGTCATTTCAAGGCAGCAGTAGGGTGCTTGAAAAATAAATTTCTAGAAATCGTAGATAGTAGAGCTAGGTAATTGTTGTAATTGTTACTGCGGCACCAATCCCGAGTTGTTTAGATAGTAAGAGAAATGGGGCTTATGTAGGTTTTTTTTTTGAAGTGAATCGTATGAAATGAACGAACGAGTGCCTGCTTCAGGCTAGTTTTACATGGATTGAACTACGTGGTGTTAATTCGACAGAAGCGGCATGCGAGTCGTAGATTTAGACTTTACAATAAACCCAAATAACTCTCTGAATCTTGACTTCTGACAGTGATAATGCCATTTAATCGCTGGATTTTATAGGATTCTGACGAAGTGTACTAATCAAATTATGGTACCTCGCTCGAATAAATATTTTTATGGTCTTCTTTTGTGATGATGTAAGCGTTTATTTTCGAAATAATATTTCAATGTGTGTAGTGGTTTTGTGACAGGTACAAATCAAGTATTTAAAAGTGTTGAAAAAAGTTTCTTCGAAAGATTTGTAATTGAGAACTTGATTAGGGTATGGTAACAGTAGGACAGCATTTAAGTACCTAAACTGGTGGAATTTGCGTGATCGAAGAACGGAGTTTTCATGCCCATTTTTGCTTACTTGGGCAAGGGCCCCTTATTCGTATCACTGGTGAGTCATTCGGGTGGATACTCCCACATGCACTTGCGCAGTACTAAAAGTATTTGGCAAGCGGCCAAATAATGTGGGATTACTGAAGTGTAGCAGGACCTATGCACCAACCGAATAGTGAGGTTGCATTATTGTACCATTCTCTAGGGTTCGTTGGAATATGGAGAACAAATGACTGGTTAGGAGGGAGTTGTTTATGGCTATTGTCATTATCGCGTCGCCGCCGCCAGACCCGTGGCTGCGTTCATACTATGCTCGTTTCATTAGAGTCGCGAGCGTCGAAATCGGCCACTGCCGATGCATAGCCTACAGTACTACCGATGCCATTTTTTTTGAACTTTTCATGCATTGCGAGTTAGAAGCGCCTAATCTGGTTCCTACTTTTTTGTCAATTAATAATAATTTTGTTTTTTGTGACATAAAAACAACTGGTATCGGCCCTACTCGCGGGAACTCGAAAAAAATTGTAGATGTTTTGTTGTTTCCTCAGGAGGTCGATTTATGTATTTGTGAATTTTAATTTGTTCAGCCATGTCGCGTACAATAACGTTCGTAACTGGGAATGCTGGAAAGTTGGCAGAAGTGAGAGCGATCTTGTCGTCATTTGAGGTTAGTAATTATTACGTAAAAGATGTTCGGTATTCAGATGGCATCTACCGAGACGGTGGAACTGAAGTCCGCTAAGTGCTATACACCGGAGAAACTTTCGCCCTTTCCTGGTTCCAAAACATCCGCAGCTTGTTTGCCAGCACCGGTGGCGAAGAAGCGATGTGACAGTGATATGAAAATGAGAGACGTCGACAATATTGTACCCACACCAATGACAGTAGGTCAACAACTAACCCATTCAATTCTATCAGGAGCAAGAAAAGGGTCAAGGCTTGGAAACGGAAAACGATCAGACACCAGTGGGAGTTTGCAGACGTCTGAACGACGGATTTCTGATCCATCTCGAACAAGAATGATATCCTCACTGCCCTTCCAGCTGTCGACAAGGAAGAAACAGTACTGTCCCACTGCACGAGTATATAGCTCCAGAGAAAGAAAAGTACGATACGCAAATGCAATATCCGCCTGGGACCGCGCAAAACGGCAGATGGCTGAGCAGACGTCATATCCAACGAGTGAAGGGACCATTTCTCTTATACTCAGAGGTGCTCAGCCAAAGTCAAACGAGGGTTCAAAACCACCAAAATGGTCTGATCGTCATCGTATGGAGACCTTTCCGAGAATTCCAGATTACATAGCATCTTCTCCACCGAGAACTAACAGAAGTCTACTACAACATCGTGGATGGGTCTCCTCAAGCTTCTCCGAAGACGAATTCCCTGGCACAAATACCCTGAATGCCTCAACGAGAGATGAGGAGGCTCAAACGTCACTTGACAGTTGGGGCTCTTGTGACATAAATAGTAGTGGTTCCAGTGGTTGCGGCTCGGTGATTAATGATTTACTCAAGGAATGGTTTGCTTGAGTTTTTTATGCTTTTAGATCATTTATTTTTTCATTACCGGTGAACAATTGCCGTCCTTTTTTGACTTGAAATCCTCCTAGTGATTCACGTAGCGACTTTCATGTTGTTTACTGGATCTCATATCAGTTAGTAAGTTGCTCATAAAGTGCTCTTTATGATGATCGGTTGGTGGTGCCGAGCATGGTATAGGCTTTTTGGGTCATCGGCCCACTCAGCGATTTGACTGTGTATCTGAATTTTCACTTCTTTTTGCATTTTCGTTTCGAGATCCCACCTGCTTTCACCGAAATTTACTTCCCTATTGATCTCTTCGGTCATGAAATCTTTGAATCTCTTCACTTATGAAATGTAAGTTTTCTGATCTGTGAATTTACTTCCAGTGCTGATACTGATACTCATCTTTTCAAACTGGTAGAAAACCCAGTTGGTGCCTGTAAATAGTGAATTTTTATGATCAGTCTTGTCTGTAAATAGGTTTATTTCATCTATAAACGTTGTATTCCATTTCTTTTCAAAAAACGGCTGGTTCTATGGCCAGTATACTTCGAAACCACAGCCAATTCACTCTAACTGGCATCAGATTAGTGAGGAAGGTTTGGGGGACATAGCGTTCAGTATTAGGATGAAATCATTACAAGGCTACTTTTGATTTGTTCAGGATTTTGCAGTTTCAGGTTCAAGAATAGATGAATTGGATTGAATCAAACGGTATCATGCGGTTCTGTATCCTTATCGTTTCGAGTTTTTCTGTCCATTTTTTTTACAAAGCACTTTTTGTTACGATTCACAGCATCTATGCGTGTACTTACCTCAAATTTGGTGCAGAACTGCTTCATGGGTATTTGTGATCACACATGAGGGTGCTGGAACTTCACTACTGTTTTAAGGAAAATTCACCATGGTTCAATCGTAGGAGACTCCTTTTCAATGAACTTTTTTTTGTTGGAATGCGGAATATGGATAAGTAGCTTGCGAAGTTTGTGTTTATCTGTGACCATGATGGGAGGAAGTGGAAACGCTCACATGAATCGTTTTCCGCTAGGTCGGAAATGCCCCTCTGCAATATCAGCAGCAGCTTCTGCAACCAGTTGCCACAACTCATTAGACGTTTTGAGATTGTGGATTTGTACTAAATCATTTTTTGTGAAGGTTCGTGCTGTCGATGTAGACATTGATGAGTATCAAGGTGAACCTGACTATGTTGCGGAACGAAAGGCGAAGGAAGCAGCTGAGCGCGTCGAGGGACCAATATTGGTGAGGCATGGTTTTTAAGTTTCTACCTTGAATTGAAATCTTGAGTATATTTACCCTTATCCAAGGAGTCACTTTTTAAGTTTTCAGACTTTATTTTTTTCAAAATAGACGCATTACTACAATGTGCTAGATGGTTATAGCTCTTTGTTCGACAGACCTAACGCCTTTTTATTAGGTCGAACCTGCGATGGTATAGGTAGAAAGCGCATAGGCTTCTGCAAATAAATGTGAAAAAGGGCTGAAAAGATGGAGAGCAACCACACTACTTGATAGTTGAAGGATGTCTAGCTTATTTTGTACCGATTACTGACGATAGTATGAATGGCCCTACTTGTATCCAAATTCACACGGCAAGCGGCAGTCGTCTAGCAGCTACTACCATAATCTTTCAGTGGCAGCTGCGCGCAATGGCATGAGGAGAGCTTCACTGGCCCTTCGGGTACCTACAGCCGCAGTACTATAGGGCATACGAAGTATCTGAAACGAAAGAAACATGATTGTGCGTTACTTACTTGGGCAACTTTAGCATGTGATCATCGCAAAGAACGCTACAATTTGAGTGGCTCCTGCTTATCTCTGCGCCAATTTTGGAGCCGTGCCCTGGAACTTATTCTAACCCGGTGCATTGCAGTTTTAAGAACTTCTGCCGCCGCCACATTGCCCGCCATGCAACTTACATGCTCATTTTCAGTTCAAATGATGCTTAGATTTCACAGGTTTTGTTCTAGTGAAGCTCGAAGAATGCAAGTTGTGAAAGCTCGATGCTGTCCATCGCTAGAACTCGATTTCGCCTGGAGTTTTGAATTCCCTGTCAAAAAAAAAATTTATTTATTTTAGGTAGAGGACACGAGCCTCTGTTTCAATGCGTTCAAAGGCCTACCAGGAGTATACATTAAATGGTTTCTGAAGAAGCTTGGTCCTTCCGGCTTGTATCAGATGCTTGGTTAGTGATTATTATGTCCACTAACAATAAAATAACTGTATGTCGTAGATTTCTTCAAGTAAAGCTTGAACGAATTCCCTACAGATCGCGATTCAGCTTGTTTGAGTTGCAACCATATCCAACCAGATTCATCAAAGCTAGTTGTAGTCATACTTATGTAGTGTGGATTTATTATGACATATGAAATCTGTTCTGAAGGCAAACTCCGTTCTGAAGTTCCGCTCAATTACAGCTGGATATGATGACAAATCAGCCTATGCGCAATGCATTTTTGCATACACTGAGGGTAAAGGAGAGCCTGTACATATATTTAGAGGTATGTTCATTAAAAAATTGACAGTCGGTTATTTACCTTACATCAATGTTTTCCTGTGATGGAGTGAATCGTGCGGTCTGTTCGGAGCTCAAAATCGATTCGAAGGAACGTTCGGAGGAAGTAAATCCGAATTAGGTGTCGGCTTTGGGGTCTGGAGTAGCGACAAATAGCTCTGAAACTCCTCCCAAACGCTACAGGATAATCTTATTTTTTGCACGGCGCAGAAATCTATTCTGACATGTTACGGTATGCATCAGCGCTTACGCTAGCTTGCACCAGCACCCTGTCAAAGTGCCAGCATTTAGAGTTGCAGCCGAGTCTTCCATACATTGAGAGATTTCTGGTGTAGAATAGTTGCCCTTCCCTGTCGTTCAAAGGTCAGACTACGATGGGAAAATGAAAAGGGGATATGTCGGATAAGATCGAAGATGCTTAGAAAAGCCTAGGAAGAATTTTGAGAATTCAGAAGAAAACAAATGGGGAGGTGACTGAAATTAGCGAAGCTGATTGACGGTGTAAAACAAGCTGTTATCCTATAGTCAATCTTTCAGGTCGTTGTCCAGGGCATATAGTAAGCCCACGTGGACCTCCGAATTTTGGATGGGATCCGTGTTTCCAGGTATATCGTTTCGCTTGAGACTTCCTACACATTTTTGACAAACTTCGTTATTTCAGCCGGAGGGGTTTACCCAGACTTTCGCGGAAATGAGCAGCGAGACAAAGAACAAAATAAGCCACAGAGCAAAAGCGTTGGAACTTGTTAAAAAGTTTTTTGAAGATAGGAAATGATTCGTAATGCCTTTTGTTAGTTTTTATTGTTTTCTTTGTTAATTTTAATTTGAGATATTAAATTCCTTAGCTATTTTGAAGCCTGTTTTATGACTGATGCAAGGTTCATTTATTGACCTTTACGAATTTTTATACCATTCATTCGGTTTCTGTTATAATCGGTATCATCATTTACTGCTGTTTATTGGAATTTAAGCGGTGTTTATCTTTACTATATATCACTTCGATTCACCAGCCTCAGGCTGACCTAATGCATGCTAAGACTGTTTACCTGGCTACGTGAACTACAATTTCCGAAAGCCGTGATGACAAGGAAAAATCCTGTAAGTTGTGAGAAAACTGTATCACTAATTTGAAAATAATTAGTGCTGTGTTTGCAGAATCTCTTGAATGACTACTTTTTTAAGTTAATTTATTAATCTATCAGGTTGTATTAAGGTAATATTTGTCATCGGCTGCACTGGATCTGGTAAAAGTGATTTGGGTGTGGCGATAGCGAAGAAATACAATGGAGAAATTATAAGCGCTGACTCGATGCAAATCTATAAAGGTATGGTATTATATTNCAAAAGCGCTGCTTGGCAATCTTCTCTGCTCTACTGGAGGTTTCCTTTCATGTCTATTGATTGTTAGCATTAAAACAATAGTTTACCAATTATTATCAACCTCTAGTAAGCTAGTCATTATATTTTCCATTTTCAAGCTATCTGACAGTACCATATGTTCGGTGGAAGCGAGGGTGATCAAATAACACCCCATAAATCCCGGGGTTCATCCTCGAAAGGACCTTTTTCCCCATTTTCGTTGTTTATGAGTATGTGTGAGTATTACAAATGAAGTACAGGAAAGTTTAAATCCTTCAGGACTAGACATTGCTACAAACAAGATAACCAAAGAAGAGGCAGCTGGTATCCCTCACCATCTTATGAGTTTTGTTGACGCTGCAACGGCTCGGTACAACATTCATCAGTTCCGTGCGGAAGGTTTGAAGGTTATCGAGGTAGGCTGGGTAGACAGATAGAATGAGATTTTTGTATAAGTTTTAGCAGAGCTGCTTTTCTCCTTATTGGGGTCTTGTGCTAGCAATCACAATGTGTTCTTATAGGAAATCAAATCACGGGGTCGCATACCTGTTGTGGTCGGCGGTACGGCGTATTACGTAGAAAGCCTGTTATTCGAGGAAAATATAATTGAAACACCAGGTAGTTAGCCAGGCGTAAATATGAAATCGTTCGTAGAATGCTTGTTAGGGGCCGAGTTTTTGCGAATCTGTGGTCTTTTGGATTTTCAGGGTCTGAAAATGTCGCTGAAATCCAGAGTCTTAATAAACTGTCAAATGCTGAATTGCATCAGAAGCTTGTTGAGGTTGGTTTTATCAACTCGCTAATAAAAGATGTTGGAAAAGATTCAGTTTATAAGAAATACTGGCCTTCTGATCACTGTGCCTGTTTTGGGATTAAATGCACGCTGAGCGGCTCTACATGTTGTACTTTTAATAGGAAAGCTGTACGGGTGGAGAGAGTAGCTGAGCGCGGACCATAATTGTCCTATCCAGCGTGCGCACAATCTTCAATCACCCAAACTACTAATAGGAGGTGTTGTGATAGTCCTGGAACACCAACTTCGATTCATCATATTCACCGTTTTTTCTTCGATGTCCCCCCTCCCCATTTGAAAGGAAAGGAAGTCGGGTAGTGACTATATAGTTCAATGAATTAGGGTTTAAAAATGGAAAAATAAATTTGTGTATCCAAGTACCTAAAAGCTTTTTGAATTACCAGTATTTCAGCGTAATTGATCATCGTTCAGTAAAAATGTTATGGGCAACATTTCGTTCTAGGTTGACCCGGAATCGGCACGCCTCATCCATCCAAATAACCGGAATCGAGTTCTGCGGGCTATTGAAGTCTACAACGTGACAGGTAGGAGTCTTTTGCATCTCCAGTTCACCTTGCTTACTTAGATCATCTGGGAACTTGCACTCCCTTGGAATGGCTGTTTCAATTCTTCACACCGTTAGTAATATCTAGTGCTGTCTTGATTACCAGCGTTTTTAGGCTTCCACAAACACATTATATGGTTTTTCAGGGAAAAGGAAGAGCGAGTTCTTGCGTGAGCAAAAGGAATCCAATGGCTCATGTGATCTTGGTGGCCATTTGCGGTTCCATGAATCGTTGGTAGGACATCTTGCCTCTTTTTAAAACAAAAAAAAAAACAGAAACTGATCAGTTTTAATCTGCGGTAGTTCTTCTTTGACTTCGAAAGAATCCTGTATTAGCTACAGCTGTTCAACAGCATGTCCAAGTGTGAGGTGTGGATGTGGGAAGCTAGTTTTATGGATAAGAAATAACACAGGACTGACTCAACTTTGGCTCTAACAAATTTCTTTTCAGGTACTCTCACTTGATGCCGCAAAGGAAGTCCTGGCAGAACGTTTGGACAGAAGAGTGGAAAAGATGAAACAAATGGGTTTAAGAAAGGAGTTGGAGGACTATTACGACGAGGTGATCAAGACGAAAAGCGAGTTAATCGGTTTCTCTGACTAAAATCAGATTTGTTCTTTTTCAGAATCGGGACAAGCTCATCAATAGAGATCACTTTGGAGTTTTGCAGTGCATAGGATTGAAGGAATTCATTCCTTATTTGGAATTGCCAAAAGAAGAGAGGTCATCTTCAAAAGGCGACATGCTTTTTGAGAAAGGGTAAGCTCCTTTATGTGGATTACCTTCTAAATGAGTAGGAGGATAATCCATTTCCGGTTTTCGAGCCACTTGATTATTTGTAAGTGTTGTTTTTTAAAGTTCTGATTTATTTGAAGATGTGACGATGTCAAACTTCACACACGGCAATATGCACGAAGACAGCGCAATTGGGTGAATTCAAGATTCGTTCGACGGCAAGAAGCCAGAGAGGTCAGTGTTGAACATGTGTTTAGAACTTGTAAACTATGCGTACCGGGGTGTAAACAAGTCACTGTGAGCAGAGCCATCCTTGCAGAGATTATTCGGATGGTTGAGTCTGGGAATTTTGCTGTCTTGTCGAATCTGATTCTGGGGGCAATTAGCTTGTTCTTCTTGAACAGTTGCCGAAACGTATCCTAGGTATCCACGTTTTGCGTTGATAACTCGCGGACGAGATACTTAACCCAAACTACAACTGCTGCGACGGAATGCTTTCCTCTTCGTAAAGCCGTGGGAATTGAAGGAAAACATGGATATCCAATGAACTGTGCATACCATATACATACACTGAGTAGCTGGTGACCAACCTGGACTGTTCATAATTACAAACCTTCCTCACAATCTTGTCATAGGCCAGTTGTTAAAATATAAGGCTCATGTATTTGAAAGCTTTCGAGAACACACCATAGAAAACATTGTGTTGCAAAAACGTTCTAAGGGTGTTTCAGGTGCCTTCTTTGAAAAAACTGGACACTTCCAATAAAGACACATTTCTCGCCAGCGGTCTGAACATAGTGGAACAGTGGATGAGCGGTTGTGATTTCAAAGAAGAAGTAAGTGGCTTTTACAAGTAGAACAAATTGTTAATGCGCATGGGAGCGCTGTGACTTCTTGTAGCCACTTGAATAAATGAAGTCGGGGTCAGGGGTCAGAAGAGAAACGACCTTGGGCATGTGACCTCTCGATAACGGACCCGCAATCATCAATTTGATGTGGAGTAATCTTACTTTACTAAAGATAACTTTTGAGAAATTATTGTAGCATATGCAGGTTGAAGCGTTTATACTTAGCATAGAAAAGATCACCCGTGTCCTTTACATACCTTTGCCGCAACCCCAACCTCTAAATCCGATTGGATATGATTCAGGTCAATGGTGAAGCTGAAAACAGTGAGGACGCCAACATGATACGATATTGCGAAGTTTGTGAAATTTTGGTGAGCGGTACACGGAGTTGGTGGGTTTGGAATTTTCAAACTCTCTTAATTAGATTTTTTATATGAGCCTAAAGTTATTCTGCAATACCATCCCACTGTACTTAAGCTGATGCTGGAGGATTGCAGCACGTCTTCATCTATCTTTCTGTAACCATAAATGGGCCTAAATGTGAGCAAGTCTACTTGATAGATCTATTGGTTCTCCTGGTTGAGCCAATATAAATGTACTGGGTGTTTACGGAAACGGGACCCCCTTGAACGATTAGTCACCCTTTTCTAATGTTGATGTATGATCTGATTCCGAACGGAAAAGTAATATTTGTTGTTTTAGGAATAAACACCTAGCTGGGAAAAGGCATAAAAATGCCATGCGGGCAGCAAAACGTCGGCGGGAGCAGACTGACAGCTCGGTTACACCAACGGGTGTTCCTGAAGAGGATGTTTCGCAGAGTTCTGAATCTGAGTCAAAGAAAAAGTGTCAGGAAGCTTAGAGGTGTATCTTTTTGTTGATTCTTGGAGGTGCAGGTTCGAGCTGTAAGCAATACTTCGTGCTGTAAAACTTTTTGGTTGAAACTTTGCAGCGTAATTCTCCGTTAACCCCTTCTTTCTTTCTCTACTTGAGGTAGTAAGTCATGATTCGAATGTACATATTTTTTTTATATCTTTACGTTCGAAAGTATTAGGCTGATGCGAAAGTTTTGAGACGTTAATGAATCGGAATCGTCGTTTCTCTATAAGAACCTTTGCCGCCCTGGGATCATTACCTCACCCCAGAACAATCTCTCAGTTACCAGCAGTAATATTCGAATAGGCCCACGAGCGCTTCTCTTGTAAACTATGTCTTAATGGTTAAGTGAACAACTTCGAGTATTCGTCTTCTACGCTTTTTCCTCTGCCTCCATCATCAGCACAGCACTTGGAGAGGACCTCCACAGCCAGCCAGCCAATTATGATCGGTAGGTGCCTCTCTTAGGTCCTTTATCTTCTCTTATCAGTTATTATCAGTTCTTGTCACCGAGAAATGCTGAGGTTCCATTGTTAGTACGAAAAGTGTAATCCTACCAAATTTGAGCACTCTAGGTCCATGTAAGCAGGAGTTATAAATTTGCGGCCCAAAATTTCTTTGGCGCACGTCTCGCTCCCTGTGAGCGGAGTACGGTACGGCTATCCACCATAGGTATTCCCATCCTGCCCCCCCCCCCCCCCCCCCCCCCATACTCCTACCAAGATTGAACGCTGTAGGTCCACGGGGGCAGGAGTTACGAATTTCCGGTCGGACACACACACACCGACACACAAACACACAAACACACCGACAAACCAACAGGCACACTTAGCGAATTATATATAGTAGGATAGTCGACTTGTCCTTCGCTGATGAGTGCTATAGATAGTAATAGTGATTAGGTAGTTCAATGGGTAAGAGGTTCAATACAACTGTAATCACATTAAAACGTGCGTCCGAGTGTCTCAAGACTTTCGCATTAACATATCTTTGTTCGCTATTCTGCAGCTATCGGAGATGATGAAGCAACTGTCTGCTGTTTGACCAGCCTTACCTAAACATCGTTTCCGTAAATAGTTGTTGTTATGTAAATAGTTGTTATGCACGCTACTGTCTCATGTGTAACTTTTTTGTACCGCTTAGTATAATCGGTTTTCAAGTTGTTGACATTGTTATGGTGATGTTCTATGAAGTGTCTCAGCAAGATGAATCTGGTAATCCCAGTACACACGAAGCCAAAGTAAGGAAGCTTAATGTTTCGACAACCTTTTGCTATTTGCAGATGTTTTCCACACATCTTGATATTGCTGCTTGGGATGTTTTTTTTTCTCAATCTCTTTTGTGATCGGTCAGTGCCTTAGGAACTGGTTTGAACTGTTTTTTTTTCAATCGCAATGCGTAGGAGAGTCAGGAGAAGCCGTGTACGTACAATAGCCATCGTCGCAAGAAAGCAGTTTGAGTTCGCATCTCGCTTGATTCCGTCAAAGTGATCGAAAAGGCTACGATGCCAAAAAACTCGAGAAGCATTGCGTAGAGAGCAGGCTAGAATGACCTGGAGCCGATCATCGAGTCTTTAACTTTCCTTGAAAAGGCAGTCGAAGTGATGGAAAGTGAAGTTCACTCAAGGAAATATTGTAGGCTGCCAACGCGTCGGCTTAGGGCGCAATCACCACCAGCCAGTAGGTACTTCCTTCCGGTACGAAAAGTACGGGACTCTTTTGGAAGGAAAGGGGAATCGGCTAGACCACAAGTCATTACATAGGTCAGGGACTCCATCTCAGAAATGGATCGCGCCATGAACTACTCTCTGGCTCAAAAGAAGTCAATGAGTTCTATTAAAATGAAAACAACGGAATACGGAATAGCAAACGTGGTTTAACAGCGAAAATTCAAAACGATGTTCACCCAAGTACACAGTCATTAAAAATCAGATGTAAAAAATCATTTACGTCGACAATTTTTTCCTTGTAATAGTCTCATTATATACGATTAGCAAATGTGACCTACATCTATGTACACAGCAGAAGCCCGAGCGAAACGGACAAAGGCTGTTCTCGAGGATCCATTTGCAAACAGTGTGTATCACCAATTTCAATAGGTTCATCAGTCACAAAATTCAGTCAACTAATCATTATTTCCTCGAATAGATCATAGAGTAGCGGTTCTAGTAATGCTGCACAAATCTGAGTGTTCATGAACAAGCCACAAAAAAGCGCATCGAAATCATAAGAGATGTTAAGGCATTAAGTGGGAAGACGGCCGATTTCATATATAAATGGAGAAGTCAAATGTCAACTAAATATTGTTTGGTAACCAAAATATGTCAACAGCTCGTTCTGCTGGCCCCTTCCGTCGGCTTTCTTTTTGCAATATTAGTGAGGCATTTCCCCGAGGAGATGAACAGCACAAAATACGACTCTTATGGTTAACAAGTTTGTGAGAGAACTTCTCTTTACTAGTGGTAAGCGGAGTCTTCGGCGGCTCTGAATCGCTTGTCCATGCTGCCTGGACGACGGGCTCGGGCTCACACCTAGGAATCCGATAAGGTCATTCAGCATCTAATGAAGTGGGGCCTCGTGAAGTTAGAAGATTAGGGACGAGTTCGTGGTGGCTGAAGGGGTGAGGGAAGTGTAAAAGGTGGAAAGCTGAAGGAAAACTCGTTCGACTGGAAGAGCTGGTAAGCAGAGAACTGTTTCTACAATAAGTATTCTTTAGCCAAATAGTACGAAAAAAAAACATCGCTGTTCGCAGCTTAGGGGTTTCACTGCAGGAAGGAAACATTTGACTAACAAAACTTGGAAGGAGCCCGATCGCAGCTTGAGTTCTCATTTTTTAGCATTGACATCTACTAGTCTGTTCAATCCACTTCTCAGATCTGCTGTAGGTCACATTGGTCTGTGCCCTACTCGCTCCAGCTCCCGCTGTACATTTCTCTGCCCCTTCTCATCTAGAGATAGCCATCAACTGAACCCAGCACGTGATACGTAGCAGACAGAACAGATGTGGCGACCAGCGTGCGCAATGTGCAAGGCATAGTTGTCCATCGGCGGGGTTGGCGAAGGGTGATTGCCGGAGCACTGGAGCATCAGGTAATTGGTGGTGTCAATTTGAGCGTCCGCTTCAACCTCTGAAGCGTATGCTTAAACTTCTTTAGTTTGGAAAAGAAGGTGGCTTTTCTCTCATGCTCCGTCCGGAGATCAGCAGGTGGAAAGAATCTCTTTCCAAACAGCGAACTTCTGAAGAGTTAGGGACGTTGTAGCTTGGGAGCTTCTAAGCTGCTTCCGCGGCTTATTGTTCAACCCAATAGTGAAAGAAAATTCCCAAGAATAACATAAGGTGGTCAGG